AAAAAAAAAAAAAAAAAAAAAACCTTTAAAGTCTACTTCAAATGGGCATATGTTAGGCAAGGTAAAAATATATATACATCGAGCCGATTGTTGAGTTTCTAAAAAAATTAAGAAAAATATTTTTAAATTAGTTTATTTTAAAAAAGGCACTAAAAAAAAATTAAAACACTCTTATTTTTGCTTAAAAAATAAATTTATTTGTTTTTTTCAATAAAAATTTATTAAAATGATATATTAAGACATTTTACCTATTAATTTTTTAGAGATTCAGCTGATCAATACTTTTTGTATATACATTTTTCTACATAAGGAATACAAACGAACGGGGAATTCAAATATTGAATGATACAAGGCAAGCCTTAACCATGAGTTATGGGATTTTTCTCCTGCTGTGATCTTTGAATCTTTAGCTTAAAACTGTTGGGAGCCTTCGGGCCATATGGAGGTGGGCAGGTGCATGTCTTTAATTTTGGTTTTGGACCATGGTCAGTGGACCATCCATGTACACCCCAATAAGTATGTCTGCGAACTGCGATTGAATTATTTGACCGCGAGAGCGAAAATGAAAATTAAAAAACAAATAAATAAATAAATAAATAAAGAAGGAAAGGCAAAACACGTCGCCTGAGAGATTCGAACTCTCGCGGGGAAACCCCATGTACTTAGCAGGCACACGCCTTAACCACTCGGCCAAAGCGACGGTTGTGCTCGGTAAATAAAATAGCATAAGATTTATTGTTTATGACTCCAGCAGAAAAAAGTACTCTTTGGGAACAAAGTGATTTGATGATTCATGAACAAAATTATAATATTCATTGAGTTAGAATTTATTTTTATATTTATATAAAATTTTAATTATTTATCTCTTTATTTTTAATAAATAAGATTTATTTATTTTTTATTATATTTAGTAAAGATAATAGTCTTTTTATTTAAAAAATTATAATAAATTTCAACAATTAAAAATAAAAAATTATATAATTGAAATTTTATATAAATATAATATATAAATTTTGTATGTAACTGAATTTTTTTTTCTTATTAATCAATATTAACATTTGATTTTGTGTATTTCTAAATTTGCTCATCAAAATCTGAGAAGTTTCGTTTATCCTAATGTGGATTAAAATATTTCTCTTTGTTTTATTGATAATAATCAAATCCTATTAATAATTTATTATCAGCCATCGTTCTCGATAATACATAGGTGTTTCTGGCCCTTGTGCTTTTGCCGGGGGCCTTGCAAGTGGAACCAACCCAAAATTTGGTGGGGGATATTGTATAATCAACTCCATCATCAATTTCATTAGATTTTATAATCCTTAATGCGACACACTCGTCACCCATTAGGCCATTTCCCAAGATGATTGTTCTTCCCTTTTTCCTTTTTCTTTTTTTTTTTTTGTTAAAATATCAATTTGGTCCCTTAAATTTTAAATTTGTACTAAAATTATTCTTTAACTTCAAAAAATATCAAAATTATTTATGAACTTTAATTTTTTATACTAAAAAAGTCTTTCATTAACAAAAGTGTCACATGATTCATTGTTTTATCACAAAATTAGTTCTTTTACTAAAAAACTAATGACGTATGAAATCAAATAGTTATATTTTACTATTGTGATATATTTCTATTTACATGTCAGATTGATATATAATAAAAATTGAAAACCTAAATTGGTATTTGTAATCAAAGTTTGAAGACTAAGTTGGTACTTGTTTTCAAAGTTTAAAGACTAAATTGATATTATTTTTTAATTTTGAGGATTATTTTGGCATTAAAAATTAAAATTTAAGAATAATTTTGATACTTTCTAAAGTTAAGAGATAATTTTGATACAAATTTAAAAGTTGAAGGATCAAATCAGTATTTTAATATCTTCTTTTTCCATCTTGGTTGACATATAAAGGAAATTTTATTTTATAATGACATCATCCCCTTCTCATATGTACATCAACAATATTATTGTATTCACAAGATCATCAAATGTATGAGTCCAAGAAGGGGCACAAATATTAATATTTGTGCCATTTGCTTGTCTTAAAATCACATAACGAGGAGTAATTTTTTTACTTTTCTTAATTTTTTTTTTTTTGGTTCAAGATTTAAATTTTAATTTGTTTAAAATAATTAATATAAATTTTTTTTTTGAACGGTTTTGTCATGGGGCGGGTTCGAAACCCGCCCAGGAAAGGGGGATGTGCACTTTTCAGTGGCTCTAGCCACTCGACCACACGGGTCAAGTGCAATTAATATAAATTTTTATCTATTCAACTAGTTTAAACTATCATGAAACTCTAAATCATAGAGGAGATACGAAGTTATACAGTTTAGGCTTCAACAAACCTAGCAGTAAGTACCCATATGTTGCCTTACTATGCTCTAATACAGAAATTCTATGTACAATCATAATGGCACCTTTTAATCGTGTAGGTATAGATGGCCACTCAAAGGTCAAAATTTGTTTAATTTGTAGGGTACATGAACTACCGCTACTAATGAATAGGGGCACTGCCCTGCACCCTACCTCTTCAGTCTTCACCATACTCAATCGGAAGACAGCAATTCCCCAACTGAAAAGTGGTAGTACTGTTGAATAATTAAGTGCTGAAAATGTCGAAAGCTGGGTACGGACATTTCCTCGAGTAATGTTTCTCCACCCCTCTTTTCAAAGGACCATAAAATAATGTTGCTTATGCGAAATTTGGGACCCCTTATTCCCCAACTGCTACTACAACTACCAATTGGCATTGTACTTAAAGCTTCCTTACAAAAAGACTATTGCCAAAGCAAAAACCTAAATTTCAGTCCCTGATTTAGTTGTTTGGTTCAATCAAGCTTCATTACAATCATCTTCTACTTCTATTAAACCCCCCTAGCAAACTTTTGCACACATTTAAGCCTCTCACGTCCAAGGCCAGATCACTAGAGAAGGTCAAAGTTAGTAAAGAGAGAACACAACACAAGCCTTCATGAGTATGTCTCCTTTGATACTCTCTGCCATAGCTTAAGGCAAGCTATAGCTAATTGCGTTAATTTTAAATAATAGAAATATGCAAAATTTCGAGCACTCCCAATTTTGTTACTTAACAAAATTTCATTTGAAATTATCAACTAGCCCTTAAATACTGCTCCCTTCATTCTTCATTTATCTGTTAGTTTTCTACTTTTGCACCCGTAATTGTGAGTGATGTTTTTAAATGTCATATGAATAATAATTACTAATTTTTTTATCAAATAAAATTGTCTAACAAGAACTATATATTAAAAAAGAAAAATTATAGATAAGTTATAAATATAAGTTAAAATCCATTCATACATAAGTTTTATAAATTATATTTACACAAAATTTTAACTATTCATCTATTTATTTTTAATAGTTGAGATTAATTTATATTTTTTAAAAATTATTATCTTTTTTATCTTAAAAGTTATAATAGATTTCAATTATTGAAAGTATAAAAATAAATAATTGAGATTTTATATAAATGTGATGTGTGATTATTTATAAATAAATTATATATATAAATATAAACACTGATTAATACATATTTTAATTTAAAATACTGTATCATATACACATTAACAATTTACCGTTTATAGAGTTTTATTATATAAACAAATAAATAAATAACAGAGTAGGCCTACTGTGGTATCATCGTGTGCAGGTGGACTTAAATGTTTCAAAAATTAATTTGGAATGTAGTAGTCGGACTAATGTTGTTTCATCAATGCCTGGTCCGACTTACACTCCACTCCATGGTCCACGAAACGAAATTCAAAGCAATCAAACAACGTGTCAAAGCATTCTACTGCTTTAACTCGTGCTTAACAGAGAAGCAATGTATAAGCATTTATCGTTTTTGTGGGGATTCAACGTGTATGTGTTAATGTAACTTAAATAGTTTAGTGATATTTTTTTAATTAAAAATGAGAGATTTTGAATATGAGTAGTATAATATATGAGTATAGTAAAATAAAATAAGTTAAAAAATAAAAAAAATTATTTTTTATTATACAATCTAAAGTAAATAAAATAAAATAAAAACATGTACATGTTAATCTAACGTGGGAGGGAACATGTTGATTCAACATGTTCCTAGGGAATTATTACAATTATGAGCAGTGTGTTATTAGTTTCTTGGCAATATCCTAAAGCATTAATCATAATGTATGGATTGTAGAGCACTCTTGAAATGAATGTACATTTTTTTATTCTCTCTTCTTTCATCCAAATAAAGTTATAGGGATCTATGCAAGCTAGATTTTACCAAATTTCAGTACTTTATATATATATATATAATATTTTTCAAATCGACCATTTAATTATATTATATTTTTATAGTTAATAAATAAAGACAATTTTTTTTTTTTATCAAGGGTAATTTTTGGAGAAAAGGAGGATTGAATCCAATTTTATGGGTTGGGTGATATACATTATTACTAAGTAGTTTATGGGTTGGGTGATATACATTATTACTAAGCAGCCAACAAGGGGAGGGGTGTCAATAAAGACAATTTCTCATGTGACGACAGAAGTAATGCTAAAGTTGATACTCTAACTAATTTGAGTTTGTTTGGTTTGTTTGCGAGAAATTGAAAGAAAGATACAAATATGTTTGTCTGATGAAATTAAGGCGCAATTCTCTCACACCCAAATAGACTCAAAATACAATGACAAAGTAGGAAAACAGAGACCGAAGAAGAGACATATGTCAGGTCTTATAGGCAGTTTAAGTATTCAAACTAGATAATACTAAGGAAATTATTTTTTATTTCTAGGCTAATATAGGGGTGAACTCTATATATATATATATTTATGTTGGTTGCAAAATAAGTAGTAGTCATTTTTTATTTTTTATTTTATTTCATCTATATGCCATACAACTCAAATTGAGAATCTCTTATTTTTAACGAAAAGAGATAATTAGTAAATTACTTAAATTATTGACAACTATATACTGTTTAAACTATCCAAAAATAAATATTTTTTGAAATACATAAAAATTTACTTGAAAATACTATTACTGTAGTTCACACAAAAAAGGCTTGTGGGAGTGAAGAAAGTGACAAAAGCTAAAACATCCTGGGTGAGGGAGCTTTGATTTTAAGTTAACAAGTTGGGATGTCTAATTAATTTAAAATTTAACGTGGATATTACAAATGATTCATGTATAAAATTAATAATTGATGTAAAAATTAATATAAATTAATAAATAAAAAAATACATATTAATTTTGACTTTTAAAATAAATTAAAATTAAAATTTTAAATTATGTCATTTTATTTAATTAAAACTTAATTTCAAATTAAAAAATTTATCTTATTAAATATTAATATTTAAATTTAAAAATCAATTATATATTATATAATCGGTTTTTAAACTTAACTAATAACTTTTAATAAAGTGAATTTTTAATTTTTAAATTAAAATTTTAATTTTTAAATATAAATTAAGACTTTATTTTTAAAAAAATCAAAATTAATATACATTAATTTTTAATAAATAATTAAAAAAAATTTAAAATTTTGACTTCCTATTCCTAACATGAATTTCCTGCACCATCGTGGGGACTGGGGAAGGATAAAAAATACTTGTCTGTTAGAAGTCGGTAATGATGAAGGTCAACAGAATGGCGTGGGGACAGACAACTCAGAAAAGCGGAGTGAGCGTGCGATGTTTCGGCAGATTTTGCTGAGACCTCGATTGGCGCCGCTATCACCGGCTACATCGTGTGTAACGTGATAGCTGGGAGACACTTCACGGTTGACACCAACAATCATATGCTTGGCCGCTTTTATTTGGCTCTATTCAGAATAATTTGCACTCGAATTGTAAAGGGGGAAACCTTGCGATTAGCTTCTAATAATTTTTTATAAGGATTTTTTAAAGGGAAAAAATCCCTTTCAAAGATAGAAATGGTTTGCCTCAGGTAATAATTTTATTTTTTTCACGAGCTAGGCTTATTATTATTATTTTTTGTGGCGACAGCATGGTGGGTCAAGGTGTGGTTTCTTCTTTGTCAAATTCTTTCGTGGAGGAGAAGCAGCCAATGAAGGCACCAAGGATGGTAGGGCAAGTGGGGCAGTGTCTTGGTATGGAGAAGGAGTGATTGCTGATGGTCGCGATTTGTCGAGGAATAAGGCGGTGGATCAATGTTGTTTAGGATGGCTTGATGTCAATGGGAAGGAAGCAGTGGACAGTGTTTTGAAATCGATTTGGAAGTTAAATCATTTTGATTTTGGTTCTCGATTTGATTGGTTTAATCAGTTAAATAATTTAAATTATCGGTTCATTATATGCATATATATATAATATTATGCGAGTAACAGCATGTGGTTCCAATGGTATGTTGCTCTGTCTAAGTACAAAAAAAGCAACAAGTTTGCATGTTCGTGTGCTGTGAATGTCAAAATTTGATCATTATGTTTTTGGCTTATAACTTATATTATATAATTAGCTTCTCTTATATATAAATTAAAAATGTAATAAATGTAATTTTTTAATTAATTTATATAAAAAATTATAAATGTTGTCTTTAAATTAATTAATTAATCAATTAAAATAATAAATGTAAATGTTAATTTTTATAATTTATATATATTAATTATAATAAAGGTAAAAATTTATATTATTATGTTTTTAACTTATAATATATTAATGAGTTCTTTTCATATGTTAAAAGTGAAATAAATATATTTTTAATTAATTTATATAAAAAAAATTATAAAAGTTGATTTTGAATTAATTAATTAATCAATTAAAAACATTTACATATCAATAGTATTAAAATAAATATCAATTTTTATAATTTTTATATAAATTAATTATAAAAAATTATATTTATTAGACTCTTAATATATATTTTAAAATATAAATTAAATAAATTTTATATTAATTTCAATATAAAAGTCAACAATATTTCTCTCTAATATTAGTGGGAGGAAGTTTGAATTTCCTAGAAAGAAATTATATTCTTTTTTCTTAAAAAAAAATAAATATAATTTTATGCAAGCCCAATCAAGGTGATATCATAGTGGTAAAAGTAATTAAAAACCTCATTGAAGTCCATGTTCAAAACCTGGAGGTTGCAAATTTAAGGGAATCTTTCTTAAAATGTTAAACCATCTAGTTGAATGGTTGAATGGTTTATATTGATTTAAATGATTTTGTTGGTTTTAAATCGTTCAACTTCTTATCAGTTCCAAATAGTCATTTGGTTTGTTTATGCTATTGGGTATTGGTTTAGTCAATTCAACCAACTGATTCAGTCTGATTTTTAAAATAATGGCAGTGAGTTTCACAGACAAGAACTGCTGAATTTTGCCAAAATCCTAGATTTGTCTAGCAATAATTTGCAAATCTTCTAGTCTTGGATAGAAATTTTAAGTATGATGGGATTCTAGTCAATATTAGTGAGGCACAAAAAGAAGTTAGGAGGAAAAATAGGAAAGTTTATTATTCTCAATATTATTGTTCTATGTAAAGATGTTAATTGATTCATATTCTGTTAAAGATGTGGGATAAAAATTTTGTTTAGATTTATTAGGATAATAAGTTATAACAGTGTTGGGTTTTTGAGATTTTCTCATATGATATTAGATTAAGGGTTTGTCTAATTCATATTTTAAGGATTTAAGATGCTAGTGTATTTATTGTATTTTTTTTATTAATTTATGTAAAAAAATTCAAAAGTTAACTTTATTTTCAAAGTTGATAACGCATACACTATTTTATTTAGGTATTTAATAATATTAAAGTCAATTTTCATTTTTTTTTAATCACAGGAAAAAAACATATAATTAATATTTATTAAACATGTGTTATAATGATGCAAGTAAAAAAACTCCTTGGACCAATTATAAAATATAAAATGCAAGCAAGTATTAGGTGGGTGACAATTATATACATTACTCCGTTGCAGGCTTGTAATCTTATTATTTGGCAATAAATGACATTTTTCTTGCATTAAAAAAAAAAAAAAAAGGAACGAAGATTCAAATTAATTTTGATTCTTATTAGAACTATTGTGTTGTTTTATGTTGTGGATGTCGTTTTATGTTTTTTTTATCATTACAAATTTATGTTCGATTTGAGAGTGCTGTACACGATAATACTTTTTTATTGTAACTAATTTAAAAATATAAGTTTATTATAAATAATTACTTTTAATTATTATTTATATATTTGAATAATTTAAATTAATATTTTATATATTTTTACAATGAAAATGACAAAAAAAGCCTTAGGAGGACA